TCCTTTTTGTATGAGTTTAACTCTTCACACTTAGTGCAAGGAGTTAACATGCAATTATTATGCTTATTTTTTAATTATTCAAATTTACTAGCAAGAGAAGCATGATCTTTTTTTAGTAATTTAAAATTCTTGCCAACTAATTTAAATTCATCATACAAATCATTGAATGCATCAAATAATTCATTGTAAGGTAATGATATTTTGGTTGAGTCATTTACCTTATTGTTGAGAGCCATCGAAGTGAAATTCGCCACTTCGTCTTCAATGGTTTACTCCTCGTCTTCGAATGCACTCATTTCATCCCAAGTCACATTGAGTGCTTTCTTCTTTTTATATTTATTTTTATTCTTTGATTCTTGTTTTGAAGGACTTTTTATATTCGTGCTTAATAAATTATCATTTTGATTATCTTAATAAATTTAAAATTTATGTTAAATAAAAGATGATGAAGAAACCCTTCAAAAAGTGTTGAAAGGTATACTACTTTGTTAGACTTAATACATTCTGATATATATGAATTAAATGGTATATTAACAAGATGAGGCAATAGATATTTCATTACTTTTATTGATGATATATCTAGGTTCATATATGTTTACTTATTGAAACATAAAAATGATGCTTTTAAGACATATAAAGCATAAGTTGAAAATCAATTAGGCAAAAAATTAAAATTTTAAGAAGTAATAGAGGAGGAGAATACTTTCCTAATGAATTTAACTTATTTTATGAACAAAGCATAATTGATAAATGTTTAGCACCTAGAACACCAGAGCAAAATAGATTAGTAGAAAGAAAAAATAGAACTTATCTAGAGATGATTAATGCTAGTTGCATGCTAAATTATCTTATAATTTATAGGGATAAGCTTTATTAGTTGCATGTCATATTTTAAATATAATTCTCTCTAAAAAAATAAGATCTCTCCATATAAGTTATAGAAATGAAGACAACCTAACATTGATTATTTTAAAGTGTGGGTGTGTCTTATATATTGTAAGAATAATGGTCCTCAAAGGACAAAGTTGGGACCTAGAGAAATCAAATGTGCATTTATAGCCTATGCCTCAAATAGCAAAGCTTATAAACTTCTTAATTTGAAGTCTAATATCATAATAGAATTTGGAGATGTGAAGTTCTTTAAACACTTAATGACTTCAAGTAATAATGTTCATCCTCCAACTAGTGAAGAGTCATCAATGGAGACATCTCAAAAGGTTGGTGAGCAACTTAATATTCCTTTGATTAGACATCAATCAAGTTCATAAGAGGTTGAAGAGCAATCTCATGAATTAATGAGAAGTACTCATGTACGAAAAATAAAAACATTAAGATCAAATAAGATTGATTCTCAAAGTATTTCCTTTTACCTTGTAGAAGAAACTAATGAGAGAGTCTTAAAAACAATTCCTCATACAAATGGTACTAATAAGATTAGTTCCTTGTAGAAGGAACTAATAAGATTGATTCTCATTCTATTATGTTAAACCACACTTTGGGAACTTGTCAATTTACCTTTTGCCTCTAAACCTATTAGTTGTAAATAGATATTTTGTAGGAAGCATCGTATAAATGGTACTCTCCAAACATTCAAAGCAAGGTTAGTTGCTAAATGATTTTGACAAAAGGAAGGAATAGATTATTTAGACACATATACTCCTGTGGCTAAGATCAATTCTATTGGAATTATTTTTGCTTTAGCAACAATTTTTGATATTTATGTTCATCAAATGGATGTCAAAACGATATTTCTAAATGGAGACATTGATAAGGAAGTATATATGGAATAATCCGAAGGTTTTATTCTACCGAGAAATGAGCATAAAGTATGTAAACTTATTAAGTCATTGTATGGTTTAAAGCAGGCTCCAAAACAGTGGCATGAGAAACTTGATGCAATAATTCTTTATAATGGATTTGTTCATAATGTTATAGATAAATGTATTTATCTCAAAACTTATGATGACTATATGGTAATAGCTTACCTTTATGTTGATGATATGCTAATAGTGAGCAACGACATGAAAGGTGTTGAAGAAACAAAGAGGTTTCTATCTTCAATATTTAAGATGAAAGATCTTGAGCAAGTTGATACCATACTAGGTATCAAGGTAAAAGGAAATAGTGGGGGGATATGTTTTGAGTCAAACTCATTACATAGAGAAAATACTGAAGAAATTCAATCACTTAAAAATCAAAGAAGCAAATACCTTGTTTGACCCAAGTATCAAATTAGTTAAGAATGTTAGAAGAAAAGTAGCTCAATTAGAATATTCAAGTGCTATAGAAAATCTTATATATGCAATGTAGTGCACAAGACCTGATATAGCATTTGTAGTTAGTAAATTGAGTAGATTTACTAGCAATCCAAATGTAGAGCATTGGAAGGCTATCAAAATAGTTCTTGGGTACCTTAAATGGATCAAAGATTATGGTCTACAATACTCAAAATTTCTTGCTATTTTAGAAGGATATATCGATGCAAGTTGGATATCGAGTTTCGGAGATAACAAATCCATTACTAGTTGGGTGTTCACCTTGGGAGGTGGTGCTATTTCTTGGAAAAGCAAGAAACAAAATGTATAACTTACTCAACTATAGAATTGGAATTTGTTGTTCTAGCAAAAGCAGGAAAGGAGGCTCAATGGTTGAGGGACTTTCTATTAGAAATTCTATTGACTTCTAAGAGTGTGAATTTAATTTTTATACTTTGTGATAATCAAGCCACTTTAGCTTATGCGTTTAATGAAATATATAATGAAAAATTAAGACACATAAGTCTTAGGCATGCTTATGTGAGGAAATTAATCAAGAGTGAGATTATTTCACTCACATTTATGAAAACAAGTGAGAATTTGGCTGATCTGTTCACCAAATCTCTTACGAGAGAAGTTGTAAGATCAATATCAAAATGGATGGGGCTAAAACTCCTTGAATAAAAGATCTACCAATGATAGCAACCCTACTCAATATTATGAAATGAGTAATAAAGAGTTCAAAGGGTAATAACAAGCCATTGACATGTGGAGTGGTTCAGCACTTTGAAATATTTTACGAGTTCCATCTAAAGATGTTAAAGTGCTGATTGTCACCGAATGAGGGTTGAGTTAATTATACTCTTAATGAAATTCAGTCAAGTTTAAACAAGTATCTCAAAGAGTGACAAAGATACTATAAGAACTTCACCTATATAAACTTCAAAGTGGTGCTGCTTTGATTGAGAGTCGGAGTTTCTCTCATAAAAGTTCATGAATATGGATGAGTCTAAGGCTATATTAGGGCTAAGTGAGAATTTATAAAGAATACAAGAATGTTATATTTATGTATGTGGTATCACTGGTGTTGTCATTTGGAATAACAAATTCAAAGCTTTTATATTATTTAGGATTTCAACTTCACTTTGTAATGCTTATACTAAGGTAATATTCAAATAAAAAAGTATATTATTTTATTCATAAATATTATTTAATCATTTGAAAAAAAATTTAAATTTAAACAAATGGGGGATTGTTATAAATTATTTAAATTAAAAAAATAATTTTTTTCAAAAGATTTATTTGAAAAGATAGTTTCTTTTGTAGTTATTTGGTAGTTATTTTTCAAAGATGGTGTCTTTTGTGAAAATATCTATAAATAAGTATTTGAGAGTAAATTATGAACACATCTCTTTCGTATTCTTCTTCTTTCTTGATAACTCTCTAAGTGATTGAATTAGACATTTTTTAATTCCTTTTTGAAGATTCTTTATTGTTTGCTCAATATAAATCTTCTAAAAGCTTGTCATATCCACTAAAACTATTTGCATCAAACTCATAGTAATCTTGTTGAGAAGATTGTGTAAATATCGTTTTTAGAAAAGTGTTTATATAGGTTTCAAGCTTAAATATATTTCCTATAGTATTATTGATCTTGTGTTTGTTATTTGTTTCCATAGTGTTTTCATCACCTTCTTTATCATATTTTTCCAACACACTATCACTACCACGGTGCAGGATTTGTGCGACGCCTACAGCCATCGTGGCGTGGCATCTCTGCCACGCATGATCACCCACTAGTTGCTCCTCATTGGCGATCTTCTCCTAATGCATCCTGGACCATTAGCGCCAACAGCCATCGTCGTTGTAAGAAATAAATAAATATATATATATATATATAATGATTTTATTTTCTACTGATAAATTGCATTATTGAAGTCCGACCCTCAGACTCGATCATGTATTGCTGGAGATAAATTGATTTGCTGATCCTGCTTCCCTCTCCTCTGGTCTTTGGCTTGAAGATCAAGTGGTGTCAGCAATTACTCTGGACTCTATAATCACAGTGAGATTATTTGTCATATAACCATTGCTTCTCTCTCTTTGGAAAATGATATGAGGATCTGTGTTTTTTTTTTTGTGTTCACAATTGATGTCTGATTGATTTATTGTTATACTAGTTTGTGCTGCTGCCTATGGCCTAACTTGATTACCTGTTGGTATATAATGCAGTCTCCCGACTTGATGATAGCTTCCATGTATCTCTGTATGAATGAAGGATACCAATAAATCGTCATTGTGCTCATAATTTTCCATGTCGGTCGAGTTGATACAATTTCTGCTATGTGTCACGTACAAGTCAAAAGCATGATGTACATAAAATGGTGTGTAGTATTCTCATCAGATACAGTACTAGTTATGTGGTAAATTTATGCAATTTGGTATGCAATAATATAATGATTCAATGTTCATATACTTGTGGAACTTTTGGTCTTTTTATCTAGTATCTAGCATGATGATATGTAGAATTGTCCATGAAGCTCTTTCAACTTTTCCTCTCAAGGCAAAAAAAGCTTATCTTCTGTCAAAATTTCTGAGGTTTCCTAATATGTTACTACTGTGCTACAATTATCTATGATGGATTCGATAGGTAGCTAATATATGAACTTGAAGCTGTGTCTCAAGTACTGCATTGATCCAAGACAATGATTTTTTCTATCTCAACTGATTATTACGAAGCAATAATGCAACAAGCACGCATGAAATTTCATTCATTCTTCTACACACCAAGCGTCAGGTAATTTGATCTCAACATGTGGCACATTAAGATTAAACCCTTTCATTCACACATACGTATATAAATAGAGAGAGAGAGAGAGAGAGAGAGAGAGAGACTTCATCGTTCATCCGATTCCGAGGAGTCGATGAGCATCCTCAGAAGGGAGGTCCCGGTGGACCAGGAGGGCCCCGGGGGCCACCGAAAAAGGGGCCGCAGCACTCCTGAAGCAAGCAGCAGCAGCAGAGGAAGTATAAACTGCAAGCACAGTATGATGCTTATCAGTAACGCAACAATGGAGTATTAAACATTTTACTACTCGGACGAGGAACTGACCACGAGGGGAAGAAACCACCAAAGCCGGTTCCCCAGAATGGCCCTCCAGGCCCAGGGCCCCACCCGGCGGGGCCCCCAGGAAGTGGTCCCCAGCCTGGGCCAGGGCCGAATGGTCCTCCAGGGCCACCAGGTCCCCCGGGCCCACCAGGTCCTCCAGGCCCACCAGGACCCATGTAAGAAAACAGACTTGGAACAGTAATATATTCAGAGAGAGAGAGAGAGTGAGGAAGGAGATAGTGAATGCGGTATGCAACAGCACACAAGGCTTTTATAAAGAAAGCCATGGAGCTGACCTGCTGCTAACCTTTCGGTCTCAACTGCAGGTCGCCAACTGCTCTTCCTTCCTTCCTCAAAACAATCGATCGATAACATCATAAGCAAAATTTAGAGACCCACATTAGGTTATGACATCGGATATGGAGGGAAGAGTAGGTGTTTGACTGTTAGACGACCCACTTCGGCTTTCTATGGTGCGACAACTACTGGTCCAACCTCTACCTCACAAAGCAGCAGTTCTATTTATTCCCACCTAACCACAGGTCAGACCTGACCGGAATCGACTATATTTGACTAGTTCGGATCACCTGCCTATAGCAAGTGAGGAACGCCAATGCATCAACATTGGATTTGATTTGTATGAAGTGAATGGATCAGTCACATCCTTACATGATATAGGATATCCAATCTTATCTAATGTTAGAATTCAAAGATTGATGAGTTTAAGTAAAACTAGTCATGATTAATAAGTATCAATTTAAACATCAATTCAATCCAGAAACTTAATCTTGTTAAGTTGTGAGTTAAACTTATATATATATACATTAATAATCCAATACTCTTAATTTTTATTCATGTTAACTAGTATTCTAATATTTTTATTAATTTTCACCTTGGACATGTGAATATTTTCTAATATTTTTTAGATTAATTGGTTTACTACATAATGTATGATCTTTTAGAGCATAATAGTTGTGAATGACATCAGCCTGAATTCCAACATCAAAATTGGCCCCATCGTTAGTCTTTTGTAGGTAGGTTACTTAGCATCAATCAAATAAGAATTTGTTGATCAAGCAATCTGGGCAATGCTAAGTCGATCTCAGTCTTAACTCGTAAGACTCATTTATTCCAACAACGAAAAGGAACGAATTTTCTTTTTAATGATGATTATAAGACTCATAAATTTTGATATCATTCAATTCAATCGACCTGAAAACAAATCTATGTTTGGTAGTCTCTCACATGCTTCTCCGTCTATCCCATGTGATATGATCAAATACTAGCAAGCCATGATATGCAGCGGAAAATCCCTCCAATGTGAAGGGTAAAAACCACGGGGTAAACTAGAGATAATTCACTATGAGAATAATGAATATACAAATATCAATCTCTTGCCCTAAACCCTAGCAACAATCACAAGAGAGTAACTAGGATACAAGGATCACGTCACTATCCACAATATCTAAAACCTCTCCAAGTAATCATAGCAAGAGTCTACTGTAGATTTGATCTAACCTGAGATGAGAACAGTCTCTCTGTGTTGTCCTTGTTTTCTTCCCTTTCTTTCTCTTATTTTTCTATCTTTTTCTTTTCATCTTTTCTACTGTGAAGATCCCTGCGTTGCTGCCCTTTTATAGCATTTTTCTGCCTCTAAAATGCAGCCACCCACACCCCCCTAATTATCACGGCCTTAGCTGGAATTGCCTAAGGCATGAGGCACCCTTGCAGCCAAGACGCGAACTTAGCTTGCGTTGCCTAAGTCGCGCTTCGCCCTTGCGATATTGCTCCGCAAAGATCATCCCACTTACAACCTCTCGCAGGTCCCGAAAGACCTATAAAAGAGAAAGTTGATTAGTTTGAAAGAACGAGCGATGGACAAGTCCCGACGTCTCGCGAAAAGAGGGGAAGCTTTACAAGCAATTCAGCGAGCACCTTGCGTGCACAAGAGAAAAGAGGGAGAGGGGGAAAACAAGGGCTTTAGAAGGTTGAACGAACAATTGCAAGCCCAGAAACAATTCACCGAGTCCCGGGCGCGACAACAAGTTCCCGTCAAGGCAACGTGCGAACTTGTGAAGGAGTGTTCAACACCCAGTACTATACCGAAGCCCCATCCAGCCCTGTGCCACCTATGGGGTTCCAAGGGGCTGAGATGATTGACGTTTTGGTGAGCGGAGGTAGATTCCTGAAATCAGCTCGCGGCACACGAAAACAGAGCTGTTTTGGGCTGTTTTGATGTTGTTTTGCTCGGTTCGGTGAGCGGTCGCTTTGTAACACTGCAGCTTGTTCGAACTTACATTTTTACAAGCAAAATGACTCAAAACCAAGAGAAAACATGCTATCAAGCAACTGTACATATAGGTGTGAGCAATGAACGGTTCATTGAACGGAGTTGTTGCGGGTGCGCGACGACCGTTCGTGACATTCTCCCCCACTTAAACTGTCGACGCCTGTTGGTAGTTATTGATGATTGCTTCTTCATGTCATAGGGCGTCTTTAGGCTCCCAACTGGCTTCAGTTCGAGGGAGCTTTCGCCACTTCACCAAGTACTCTATCTGCTCAGCTCCATTGGGTAGCTTTATCTTACGGTCCGCCAGAATGGTTTCAACTCGCTTCTCGTAGGAGGCAGTGGTGGGAGGTAGCCGAGTTGGAACACTTTGGGAAGCATCTTACAGATCCGAGTGGTAGGCTTTTAGGTTGCTGGCATAAAGAACGTTATGAATTTTGAACCACGCCGGTAGCTGCAACTTGTAGGAGACGTTGCCTATGGGAAGAGCCCTTCATATTGCACACCAATCCTTTGTGGATTATGTTCCTAAAGAATTGGAGTGATATTGGTTGGAGCTTTACCAACACCAAATCGCCGACCTTGAACTCTTGTGGTCGCCTTCCCAAGTCTGCCCACTTCTTCGTTCTTCTTATTGCCTTCTTCAAGTAAGCCCGCGTAATATATGCATTTCGGTGCCACTCCTTTGCGAAGTGGTAAGCTGACGGACTACTCCTAGTATACCCAATCGCCATGGTGTAAGGAGTTGACGGTTGTTGTCCTGTAATAATCTCGAAGGGGCTCTTGTTGGACGCAGAGCTCCGCTACAAGTTATAGGAGAATTGGGCAATGTCCAACAACTTCACCCAATCTCGTTAGTTGGCACTCACGTAGTGCCGAAGATATTGCTCCAAGAGCGAGTTTATCCTTTCAGTCTGGCCATCCGTCTGGGGGTGGAGGCTTGTGGAGAAGTATAACTTTAACCCTAATAATTTAAATAGCTTAGTCCAGAATCGTCTCAGGAACTGAGCGTCTCGATCACTGATGATATTGTATTGGACTCCCCAATACTTCACCACACCCTTCATCATCAATTTGGCTGCCTCTTCTACTGAACAGTGTAGGGGAGCAGCAATGAAAGTTGCATACTTTGAAAACCGATCGACCCGAGTCTCCCTACAAGTGGCAAGCTTGATATGAAGTCCAAGGAACTGCTCTCCCATGGCCTTTCTAGTACGGGCAACGGCTCCAAAAGTCCCACTGACTTCCGTTGTTCTGCCTTGTCTTGTTGGCAAGTAAGGCATGTTCAAACATATTCCTCCACATCAATCCCCATCTTCGGCCAGTAGAAAGCTCTCTCCACGAGAGCCAACGTTCAGTGAATACCTGGGTGTCCAGCCCAAAGGGAATCGTGACACTCTTTTAGGAGTTCACGCCTCAAATTGTCCACCCGAGAAACATAAACCCAATTCCCTTTTGTGTACACGAGTCCCTCCTGGACCCAAAATCATCAGGCCTTGCCTTCTTTGATGAGCCGCATCAGGATGACTGCCTGGGGGTCACTATATAGTCCATCCTTGATCTGGGAAAGGAAGTTGGAGTGTAACTGACTTGCTTGGCCTCTGCCCTCTAATTGTACGACATTCACGTGTTCCACTTTCTGACTCAGCGCATCGGCCACGACATTCGCCTTCCTGGGCTTGTACTCCATTGCCATATCAAATTCAGCCAAGAAGTCCTGCCATCGCGCTTGCTTTGGGGAGAGCTTCTTCTGAGTTTGGAAATAGCTCAGGGCGATGTTGTCCGTCCTCAACACAAATCGTGACCCGAGGAGGCAGTGTCGCCAAACTCATAGACAGTGGATCACTACTGTCATCTCCTTCTCATGCACCGGATACCACCGCTCGGTCTCGTTGAGTTTGTGGCCCTCGTAGGCCACCGGATGGCCCTCCTGCATGAGTCAATAACGAAGTCTGAAGCGTCTATATGGACTTCAAATGGCTCTCCATAGTCCGGCAATTTGAGCACCGGTTCTTCCAGAACAGTAGCCTTCAGATCTTAGAATGCTATTTTACATTTGTCAGACCACTTCCAAGACTGCTCTTTCTTTAGCAACTCCGTCAATGGAGTTGTACGCTTCAAATATCCTGCTATGAAGCGTTGATAGTAGTTGACGAAACCAAGGAAGGATCTCAACTTTGGCACCTTCTTTGGAGTTCGTCATTCCGCAACCGCTTGCACCTTCGACTTATCCATCCGAATAGAACCATCACCGATTCGATGCCCCAAGAATAAGATCTTCGTTTGAGCAAAGTAGCATTTCTCACTTTTTACGAACAAAGTGTTCTCCCTGAGAACCTTGAAAATTGTCCAAAGGTGCTGAACATGCTCCTCGAGCGTTTGGCTGTATACAACGATATCGTCTAAGTAGACGACCACGAACTTATCCAAATACTCCTTGAATAGTTGGTTAATGAGAGTGCAGAACATGGCCTGAGCATTGGTTAAGCTGAAAGGCATCACCAAGAACTTAAACGCTCTATACCTGGTCACATAGGTAGTCTTCGCTTTGTCGCCTTCAGCAATGAGCACCTGCCCATACCCCGACCGAAGGTCGAGTTTTAAGAAATACTTAGCTTTGCCCAACTAGTCAAACAAGTCCGCGATGAGCGGGATGGGATACTTGTTCTTCACTGTCACTTTGTTAAGGGCTCGGTAATCGACGCATAGTCGGAGGCTCCCATCTTGTTTCTTCTGGAAGAGAACTGGAGCTCCGAAAGGTGCTTTAGAGCTACGGATGAGACCACCGCTTAGCAGTTCACCTAACTGCTTCCTAAGTTCTGCCAACTCTGGCGGGGGCATGCGGTAGGGTGGTTTCGCTGGAGGCTTTACTCCTCGCTCCAGCTCGATGTTGTGATCCACGCCCCTGCGTGGTGGAAGAGTCTTCGGTAACTCGGGTGGCATAACGT